ATAAAAAAAATTTTTAAAAAAATAGTAACAAATAAAAAACTAAAAAAATAACTAAACATATAATTATGTGAATAAAAAAAAAATAGATACATAAGTAAAAAAAATTATAGAACAAATAGAACTATATTTAAAAAAAATAAATATAAAACGACAAACAGAAAATAAATATAAAATAATTAAAAAGACCTAAATAAAATTAATTAATTAAGAATATAAATTAATGAATATAAAAATGAAAAAAAAAAAAATTAAACCAATTAAATAAAAATTAAAAAAGTAATAAGTAAAATTAAAAAAGCAATATAAACAATAAATATTATAGAAAAGTGAGTACCCTAATAATAGAGCACTAAATAATACAAAAATTAAATTTTAATTGATAAATTAATTATATAATTAAAATATAATTAACATAAAATAATTTAAATGTATAATTAAGTCATATATAAAAAAAATTCTGTGCTTATAATTTATTTTTGTGCAAAATTTTCTATATAAAATAAATTATTTTAAACAAGTTCAAATGATGGTATCGGATTCGGTACTAAAAAACAGCCAAATATTATGAGCATATCACAAAGAATATATGATATATCAAATATTAACATTTTTAGTGTAGACTTGTTTACTTCTAATATAGTTCTAATATCCATTTATTACACAAGTTGCCCCACATATAAATTGGAACCAAACCATGGTAATCCATATTAAATTTTCCTTGACGTATTCACGTACTTCTTAATTTTATAGCTGATTTTGTGGATCTTAAAAAAATCGTGTATTGTTTTAGTAATAAAATTTATGTATATATATGTATATATTTGTATTCTTTGTACTTGTTTATGAGTTCCGTAAATTATGTTTTCATTTTAATTTTGAATGTAATTTGTGTCTATTTTGTGAATAGTTTCCATACGTAGATGATAATAAATGGTTTTCTGTAATATTATTTTTCTGGTTTTTCATTTTCTTACAACAAATTTTTTAATTAATTATATTTTTTACATATTTTATTTTAGTTTTATATTTTTGAAAAACATTTATTATTATTATTATTAATATTATAGATTTATTTTTTAAGTTTTCCCAAAAATTAAAATAAAATTTAAAGAGAAAAAAATATTTAATTTTTTTTTTCAGTTTGTATTATTCTTTGTTGCTATGTTGCACAACCTTTTAAAGTTTTCTTTATTATATTTATATTAATTTTAAATACAACAATTAATTAATTAAGAAGTAAATAATTTTTTATATATATTATATGTATATGTATATATAAATCTTTATATATATATTTTGGAATTTTCACACGTATTGTTGCTAATAATTTTAATTTTCATTGGTTGTGTTTTGTTTTTTTTTCTTATTTATATTTAATAAAATTTTTGTTTTTCAAATTATTTTTTTTTATTTTTATTAATACTAATAATATATTTATTAATGAATTATTTAATTATAGCTGCATATTAATTTATAAATATGCATTTATAACTTAAGTTAAGTAAATTACATCAATTTTAATCAATATTTTTTGTTTTTTTGCTTTAAGTTACACAATTAATTTTGAATACTTTTTTAAAATATTTAATTGCAATTTTCAATTATTAGAAAAAAGAAAATTTATATAAAAATTAGCCAATTTTTAATTTAAAATAAGTTTAATTTAATAAATAATTAAATAAAAATATTATATATCAAAATATGTCAAATAGAAATTATTATAAGAATTTTCTATTGAATTTAAATTTTTTAAACTTTTAAAAAATTAATGTATATCTCTCTCTTTATTATACTAAAATATATAAAGAAATTATTTTTTCCTTACAAGTATTTTAGTTGAATAAAGATTTTTATTTTAAACTAAAATAATAATGAAAATTAACTAATAAAATATTTTAACAAAAGAAATACTTTGAGTCTTCATGAGCCCCTAAGAAGAGTCAAAATTATTCTTTTAATATATTAATTTTAAATTTTAATTCACCAATTTTTATTTTTAAATTTTAATATTTTTATATTAAATTTCTTTTTTCTTTAAAATTGCAATTAAAATTTTATATTTAACTACATATAATTTCTTTATATAATTTTAGTTTTTATGCACTACACAAATATATATTTATTCTTTTATATATATATATTATATTTTTAATTTATAAATGTAATTGATGTTTTTTTTTCACCCACACAAATGTACAAAAATGTGCGTTTTTATATGCAGTGGGTTTTAAAGTCATCAGAATTTTTATAAAGTCTATTTTAGTGACTTTTTCCAATAACAAAATAAAAAAAATTTAATAAAATTACTTTTCACTTGAGAGCATATATTAAATAACTTATTAAAAAAAATAATAATTTTAAATTTTAGAACTTGAAATACTTCATTTATTTATGTTATTTATATTAAAATTTCATTATTGTAAAAAATAGTGTAAATATTTAAAAATAAAAAAATTAATTTACAGTACTTATAATAACAGTTTGTCTTAAAACTAAAAAAAATTTAAACATTTTATGTTTAAATAAAAATATTTAACAACTTAACTTTGTACATTTTAAGTTTTATTTGCATTTATTTTGACAATTTTCTAAAATGCAATTCGTGTTCATATTAAGTTTGGTTTGCTTTTTTATATAAGCATTCATTTATCATATAAGTTAGTAGTAGTTTGTTTTTACTTCTCTGCTGAGTACAATTTTTAGTCATTTAACTTTTTAATTATTAGTGAATTTTCATACCATATTAGCATCACGCATTGATTTTTCTGCATTTCAATTAATATATAAAAATCTAAAAACAAAATGGTTAATACTGTTTTAATAATGTTATTTTAAAAATAAAGACAGTATTTAATATATTATTATGAGGACAACAAAACATATATATTTATATAATAAATATTATTTAAATAAAAAAAATCAAAGTTAAATGCCTATTTCAAAAGAATAAAAATAAATTAAATTCATAACATAAAATAAAATTTTAACAAAACTAAATATTACTATATTTTAACAAAAATGTAGTAAAAATTACAAAGAAAATACATAATAATAATATTAACAAGAAATATATAATTTAAAGAATGTTTAGAGAAATATTATTAATAAATTTAAAAAATCTACAGTTCAGCATAAAAATAATTATTTCAAATGTATTAGAGAATTGAAATATTAAATAAAAATTGTTATAAACTAAAAAAATAATAATAAAACAAAAGAAATTATATAGAATGAATGGCATAACAATATATAACTAGAAATAAATAATAAATAAATAAATTATTCGAAATATATTGTTAATATAAAAAATAAAAATAATCATTAATTCATTATTTTTGAATAAAACAAATCAAGGAAACATAAAAGAAAATAAATAAAAATCAATCCATTTTTAAATATAATTATACTATAAAAATAAAAAATATAAAAAACAAAAACTTAAAATAATAATTAAGCAAAAGAAATTATATAGAATGAATGATATAGCAATATATAACTAGAAATAATAAATTCTTCAAAATATATTGTTAATATAAAAAATAAAAATAAACATTAATTTATTTTTTTTTAATAAAATTAATATCTAAAAAAAATTAAGCAAACGTAAAAGAAAATAATTAAAAATCAAGCCATTTTTAAATATAATTATGTCGTATCATGAATTATATTATTTAAATGATTCATAGAGTACTAGGAGTGAATTTTAAGGCCTTCTATTACAGACAATATTCGTATGAGAAATGCTAACAAAATATTGTATATATTGATTTCTGTTTATATATATTAATAAGAATCAATTCTTAACGTAATTATAAAGTTGAAAATAATTTATACCTGTTAAACAATATCAATAGCAGTAAAAATCAGAAGTATTGATGGCATAAAATTAAAGCTCAAATTAAAAATAAAACAATGAAGTCAACATTGCAATAATATATTTTAATAGGTGACGATTATGGCACTTAAACTTTAAATACTTTTAATTTAACAATGAAAGAATATCAAATGAATTACAGCCTCAAAGAAAAAAGAAAAAAAGTGTTCTTCGGTAAAAAAGAAAACAAACTAATATAAATACAAGGAACAACCTAACCTAACCTAAAAAATCTTTAAAAGAAAGAATAAATAAAATATTTAAATTCGAGTAAATAAAATTATTTAAGCAAATTTAAAAAAACAAAAAAATAGCAAACGTAAGTGTAGTAAAGAAAATTAAAAAAATTTATTTTGCTTGTTAAAATAAAAAAAAATTATTTTATTTCAACTTCTGTGAAGTTATCATTTTTAATTAATTAAACATATTATACTATAATTAAAAACAAATAATACCGCATAAAAAATTAATGTAAATATAATTTCAAAAATTATTTGTTTTTTGTTTAAGTTAAAAATATATGTATATATTAATATTTAATACAATTCGAAAGAATTTGTAAAATAAAAATGAGATAAAAAAAGTATTTTTAATAAAAAAAATCTTATTAAATATTAAAAAGTACTTTTGCGCAAAATTCAATGCACAAACATTATATCGTAATATGTTATTATATTAGTAATTTTGAATTACTTATATATAACGATAATTTCTGTTTTCATTAACACAAAAGATATGTATGTATAGAAAAATACAGTCAAATAAACTTAAGTAAAAAATATTTACAATTTGTTAAAAAATTATGGCATATACAATTAAAAGAATTGTGCAAAGTTATACATATATATAAAAGTTAATAAAACATATAAAATATTATTATAAAAAAAGATTTCAATTAAAAAAAATATTTAAGTTTAAATTCAATAAGTGGCCTACTAAAGCTGTTACAGAATTCTAAAACAGTCCTTAAGCTACAGCTAAGTCCTCTTTTCTTTAAATTTGTTCGATTTTAAAAAAATAGTCTTCCATAATCATTTTGTTGTGTTCTATTATTGAAATGTTGTTGTTGCTGCTGCTGCAATTGGTGTTCTTTTTCTCTTTTATATTTATCTTTTGTTTTTTGCTTGTTCTTCTCTTTTTGTTGTTGCTGTTGCTGTTGTTGTTGTTGTTGCAAATTATTTAAATCCCAATTTGTATAAAAATTTCTCTCATATTGTCGCTGCTGCGGTTGTTCATAATAATAATAGCGTTCATAGCTGTCGAATTGTTGTTGTAATCTAGCCTCCAAATGTCAGACTTGCGGTTTATGTTTGCCACCACATACTCCACAGGATACACCGATCCAGTGACAAGCACGCAGTGGCGGATAGCACCACAAACATGGTACTATAAAAGAGAGCAAGGTTAAACCAATCCATCTGAAATTTTAAAAAAGTATTATTAAATAATCGAATAAATAATTTAAATCAATTAAATAAATAAACATTTTAATAATGAACTAAAATATATGTTGGGTAAAAAGTATTCGGTTAATTTTGTAATCAAAATTGATAATTGAAGCCATATGCTTCTCTTAGGAGTTAAAATAACAATATAATAACAGTTACTTTAACCGTAATAAGTTCACCAAATTGTATGCGTGAACTTGATATCGGTACATAGACGATAGTCAGAATATCAGCCACCAGCTCTGGAAGTTGTCTTTAAAAGAAAGATATTTCAATGCCTTGTAACTATAGTAACCCGAAAAGGTTCACTTAATTGTATGAGTAAACTAGATATCTGTACATAAACGAATGTCCAAATATCTGAACTAAGCGTGGAGACTGTCTTTTAAAGAAAGAGGGTAGCATTTAGATGCAAGTTGATAATGTTAAGATATTTCAATGCCTTATAGCGTACGTATATAGCGAAAACGTCAATATGGAAATTTCTATTTAAGATCGTTGATCCTTACTAACTATAATGAACCACGGCGCCATTTACTCAAACCTTTTGAGTGCTTTTAATTGACATGACTGAAGGCGTTTAAGAGTACTTTTAGGAGCCTTACCATAGGACAACATAGTATATTAACGAGATATTATCTCACTTCTATTGTGAGTGTTCTTTTCTCTTGTTTTCTCGGTAGATTGGTGTATAAAATTTTACTTTGTGGTTTGTCCTCATTTAATAAATAGTACTAATAGTTTTTATACCTATACTTTACAAACAAGGTTTATTAGAGTTTTATTAGAATCCAATTATGTTATAATTCTCTGTATATTAAAATAGCATTTAGATCGAGTTTATTTTCTACAGTACTAGCTTTATTTTCGTTAAACAGCACTAACAGATATCGAAAATTGTATACATCTTTAAAATTGTATTATCAAAATACTGCTATAAGGGTAACGTTATTAGCTTACCCATATAATTGTATAGATAAATTTAATCCAGTTTTTTTTTGACATATCTTCTACCAATTTTTGGCAGAATTCTTGGGTGTTCTCTCTGAAGAACGTATGCGATTCTTTCATAGTGATTCTTCTTAAATCATTTTTTCCTCAGCAAAAAAAATATAACAGAGATTGAAATAAACAATATTCTGCCGGTATATTGTCAGGAACATAATATATAAGAATAAGAATAAGAAAGAACAGGGTACAAGCTCCCATTTGAGCAGAGCACCGCGACCATGATTGATCTTTTTTGCTACAACAGACCCTAACTGAACAAAAAACATTCCGCCTTTCGAATGAAGGGCCAAGATGTCGGTTGTTGAGGACCTCCTAATGTCGGAAGGTGCTAGCAATTCCCGATCCAGTGATCTCCTCCTGGCCCAGATCAAAGCTGGGCAGTCACATAGAAAGTGGCTGGTTGTCTCCTCTGCCTCCAAGCAGAGTCTACAATCTATCTATTCGAATAGGCCCATTTTGCTGAGGTGGTAACGTAGCCCATGGTGACCCGTTAGATATCCCACTAGCAACCTTAATTCTGTTCTGCTCAAGGAGGATATCTTATTCTAACTATAAGGGAGAACCAGCTCTTTAGCCTGACGGTTACCTCGACTGTCGCGCCAGTAGCGACTTCTCTCGGTTAAAATACATAATATATAGCAGCTATGTTAAAACTTTCATACAAAACTCTATATATTTTTCAAGGACATTAAAAAATGTTTATAGCACAGTATTATCGTAATAAAATACAATAATTATCACTTAAACAACAGTAGAGATTTGAAATAATCACAGCTAATATATGATGTACCATATCCTTGCAATGTTATAAAACATAAGACATCACTTTTCTTATCAATACTATACCATTGTTTGTAGAGGTTTATTTTTTTTTCAACCAATAACCTTTTCATATAGATTATTGTCTATCGTCTAACTTCTCTCTCTCTCTGTCTCTCCCTCTCTTCTATGTTAGGCGAACAGAAAAACGCACAAATACTTTTTGCCCAACCCTGTATTATAATCGTATAATAAAGTTGTAACTAACTAACCTCTTTGTACATCCCGACTCGTTGACACATTCACATGGATGTTGTGGCGTTTCACCTTCTGCATCGCTCATACAATGATAGAGCATGCAGCGTGCACAACCCATACCGGAAATGCATTCGACACCCGAACGGAAACAATCAGGTGCAAACTCACAAGCACCTTTACGATTCCATTCATCACTATAAATTTCATGACAATAACGACAACGCATACGTTGATTCTTCTTTATGATTTCAATACCGGGATCTTTCAGAAGTATAGCTGCCGGTAAGGGCGACGATTGAGATGCTAATTGTTGTGCTTCAAGTGCGTTACGTTTCTTTAGTGCGCTAATGGATTCGCGACGTGCATTTAATACTTGTGCTGTTGCCGGTTGATCCACTACAGGGTAATTATATTCATGTACCGAAGTTAAAGTGACATATGAATAGTTTTCACTTTGCGGCGGTGGTTCAATTATTGATGCTGCAGTAGTATTGGCAACTGTTGAAGGTTGTATGCATGATTTCTCGCTCGATATGTAATGAATTGTAGATTTTTCATGTTTTTCAGAGTCGCTTTTGTTACTATTGGTATCCTTGTAGCGTTCACCACGATCGGAAATACTTTCTATTAAGTTAAAGATACAATATAATTAAAATTGGGTTTATCTAAGATTATGTATAATTAATACTTACTGTGACTTTTTTCACTGCCCTCAGGGCTTGAATGTGTTTTTTGTATATTCTCAGTTTCAACAGGTAAATCTAGAGTCTAAAACATTAAAATAAAAATATTTATAATATTACTTTGTAATTATAGTGAAAAATAAAATTTAAAATACAGAATATAATTATTTATAAAAGCATTTCCGATAATTTTTTAGTAGTCCATTTGATTTAGAAAAGCTATTTAAACAGATATTATGTTAGCTATAAATTATAATAAAATTAATAACTTCAATATGATTTCTCGGTGTTTTCCAATTCGAACCAGGGGGTCCTGGACGCAGGTTTAACGAGAAGCATATGACATGGATAGCCAACTTATAAGGGATCCTTCATGATGTAATGCGAAAGCGGGCCCGTGCGGAGAAATTCCGAAGAAGAAGTAAGGATGTAATAGGTCATATACTACACAGTTGAAGTCGGACATACCATTTCGGTGACAGTCGGTTTTACATTGCATAAAGCATTACACCTCCTCACACAGACAAAAAAAATAATTCATATGAATTGAAAGAGAGAGACAGAGAGACCCCATGCAATGTTATGAATTCATAGTTTATACTGAAAAATAAAGCAGTTTTTACATTTAATCAATAGTTGTTACCAACTGTAAAAACATAAGATATTCTTCAACACTAATAATATTGGTTTTATAGCAGATCACTGATTGTGTATCTTTATGGATCACTGTAAACAGACTGTACACTCAGTCTATCTGTTACTCATAAGAAAAAACAAAAAGATAAAAAGTAGAATATATGAAGTGAGAATATGCCATTGAAAATGGAAGTGTTAACGAAGAATATGAAACCTTGTCACCAGGGTACTATGAAAGTACACATCAATTGTTTTAAGAGTTAAGGATTCATTGAAAAAATTGAAACAACAGAAGAGAGAGATATGAAATTTTTAAAAAGGAATGGTCGTGTTAATTCGCAAATGCTTCGTAGGAAGTTACTTTGAAACACTAATTTATTTTTTAAATAATTTTTATACTTACCATAAATACATCATCTTCTCCAACCGAATCGTATTTAGTTAATGGTGGGCAAATAATTGACGGATTCGATTTTGCAAGACCTAAATAAAAGATTCAATTATTAATATTAGAAAGAAATAAAAGGTGATATATAAAAAAAATTAATCAAACTAACAATATAAAAGTTTTGAATTTGCTATGCTAAAATATTTTATATAGTATTAAATAATAATTTGTAATAAAAACATTATTTTTAATTATATTGAAAAGCAAAAAAAAAGTTTAAACAATAACTGATATAAAATGATAAATAGTAAAATAAATATATAAGTAAAATAAATATATAAGTAAAATAAATATATAAAGTGTTATTGAAAAAACAACAGCTACAATGTTTTGAAAAACTGTTTAATATACTTTAAAATTAATTCATTTTATTTGTTTTTTTTATTTTTGGTATTTTAACTTACCAATATATTTAAGTATTTATTAAAATCAAAATATTTGATATTAATTAGATAAAGCAAATTTAGATTTAAGACAGTTTTATATATATCCAATTTTTGAAGCAAGAAGTAAACAAAAATATAGAATAGAATATATAATATAATTATAGTTAATAAAATTATAAACAAATTTAAAATAATATATGAGATAGAAAGAAAGTTCTATAAAGTACGTTGAATAAATTCAAAATTTTTTTTTTTTAGTTTAAGAAATAGAACTACGACATAGGTTTGTGTATTTAGGAATCTTTGGAAGAATGTCTTTAAAGAAAAATTATAAAAACACATTAAAAGACATTGAAATAAAAAAATTTTGAAAAAAAAACCTTGAGATCGTTTTTCTTAAGTTATTTAATATTGTTATATTTAAACAGAAGAAAAGGACATATGTCTTTTCAGAACACTTAATAGAAGGACCATTACATTACATGAGTTACAAACATAATTGTACATTATTTATATTTATAATAAAATAATTTATAATTTGAATAAAAACTATAACAGTACATAAAAGGACTGCATCTGATTTAGTTTTTTATTAGAGGTTTATTTTTAAGGGACAAGATTATACTGTAACATAGTGCTATTCGTAGAATATAGTAAGTATTTTTCACGAGCTACTCGTAGTAATTTTGAGTAACACTGTATATACACAAGTCTGTTCCACCAGCAAAGTTTCGAGTAAATAAGAGCATCTGAGAACGTAACATCCCTGTCGAAATTTGAAAATGCTACACAGACTGTACTCGTACATTTCATTTGAACTACAATTTGTGTGATGTGTGAATCAGCTGTTTTGGTTTGAATTTCTCACCAGACTTTACACAAAGCTGTTCCATGAAAATCTGTATAAATAACGTAATTTGGCACTTTATTTATATAACGCTATTAGTTTGTACTTTACTTGTGTTTTACTCAAGTTTTTCTATGAGTAGCTGCTGGGACATACCTAGTATAGACTATAATCATTACTCTCTATCGATTTGTACTTTCAGATTCCTTTTATTTGCTGAGAACTACATGAAGGTAAAGATTTATTCTCTAATAATGATAGAATATTAGCAAAATAGAGCCACGAAACATTCGTTCTGTTTTTCAGAAAATTGCAAATAATTAGCAGATATTAAAGTCTTAAAAATTAATTATATTACGTTATATGTTCAAATTATTTTAAGGCTACAAAAATAATATATATTTCCAAAAATTTGAAATAAAAATGTATAACAAATAAAAAAAATTAAACAAAAATATCGAATTGGAATTAAATGAATTAAGGCACGCTTTAAATCGATATAATAAATAGTTTTTTACTAATTGTATTGATATTTAATATAAAAGTAGTAGAATGTATTTATAAAAAAGGAAATAAATAAAACGTTTTAATTTTTTATAAAAAAAAAAATGTATAAAAATATTTATTCAGGTTTTATATATATTATACACAGTACTATAGAGCGGCTATCTATTTCGTGGTTACGAAAGCAAACGTAAATAAAATACATATTTTTATTTTAAAATATTGTTTAGACTCTGCCATTAGGTGTGAAATATAGAACTGAAATCTTTTGAGGTAATTTTTAATGACACATAGCTTACAATAATCGGTGATAAGTTGACGGGTAATCGTTTTCAAACCGTCATGAATTTAAGGATTATCTGTGCAAACACAATGTTTTGCATGATTCCACAAAAAAAATCAGTAGTCGCAAATCGCATGATCTTGAAATAATGTTTAATTAACATTATTTTTATTATTATTATTATGTAGGGCGAATTTGCACTACGATCTAGAGATTTATGGTACCTCCTTCATGGACTTAGGAGTATTTTTTCAAGTCGAACTTCTTCTATACATTTTTGTATCGAACCTACATTGTTTATTATTATTATTATTATTTCCTTGGTGTGTTTACAATGTATTTATCTACAATACATTCGAAAAGACACAGCTCTTAGTAACAGGATAGAGTGGAATTGAAACTACATTACAGAGTTTTATTTCTTCATTCGATATTATATAGTAATTCATATGACCAAAACATAAAATTAAATGACTGGCAAACTCTTTGCACAACAAAGAAGGTGGTATTGCGTAGCATGCTGGCACAGTTCTTCCACATCCAATCTACAATTCCACTCCAAAAAAAAAATTGTAAATCATGTGCCTGTAACTTTCAGAATCGACTGTTTGTGTCATATTTTTTTCACCATTAAATAATTACTTGTTTAAATACTTTTAAGTGACTTTTTCTGGATCCAAAGGTATTTTGAGCGTTACTTGTGGATTTTCAAATACGAGTATTTTGTTTGTTAAAATATCCACCAAGCGAAATTTTAATATCAACACTAAAACAATTTTGAATTAACCTACATACTACTGAAACGCTATTTCTGCAATAAATTTTCACGTATTTAACAAGTTCAACGGTTGTTAAACGATTTATATTGTAACATGGCAAACCATAAACTAAACATATGAATCCTTGGTTGACATTTCTGTTTGGTATGTGTTACCTAAACAGCAACTCTAAATCAGAACCACGAAGTGAAGAACTCTGAATATAAAAAGCGACTATAATACAATATATAAATTAACAGAAAAAGCTGGAAGATATATAAAGTTAGAGATAAAATTAAAGATATATATACACAAATAATTTTTAAAAAATTGTATTTAATAAAATAAATAATAATATTATTATAATATAAATGAAAAAGTATTTATAATGATGAATAAATGTGATATTGAAATGATTCCTATATATAATATAATATAATATAATAATAAAATAAAAAAACTATAATATAATATTGAGTTATATTAAAAAATTTGTTTAAATTAAATATACTTTTAAAATAGCAGTTCACAAGCATTTGATTGCATATAAACATTTTTCTGTATAATATTTTTATAATAAATAATAAAAGTAATAAATGTTCAGAGGAGAGTTTGTATATTCAGTAGTCGGTCAATTTAACGAAAGATTTCTTGCACAGCCCTTTCGTTAAGTTGAAAAATTCGTTAAATTGAATTAATATGTTATTCAAAAAACAAAAAAAAAATGTATAGGTCAGTTATTATTTTTTTAAAATGATTATTTCAAAAAGCTTAATCGTTCGTTTTTTGATATCCTCTATTGATTTTTTGTATTCTTGCTCTTGTATGTCCTCTAAGATCATGAATTTTGAGTGATATACAATATATTACTTTCTTGAGCCCACTATTTAGAAACTTTATGTTTCACAATATTCTTGTAGGGCATTTTCTTTTGCCCAACTCTTGTTGACTATTTCGCATTCGTTATATAGAATAGTCAGTGAAAGAGTTAAGTTAATCACTGGTTGAATTTTACAATCTTTATATTAAATTTTTGGTTTTGAACTGTTAGAAATCAAAAGTTTATAACTTAAAGCATATATGTAAAGTAAAATAAATCTAAATTAGGATTTCTATTTTCATTTCCATATATATTAATTTATGGAAGGATAAAGTGAAAACATTTTAATTGCAATTGAAATAGAAATTATACAACAAATTTGAATACATATAGAAAGAATAAAAGTTACTCGTGCACTTATACTAAGCCATTGAAACATAAATTAAGCCATTGAAACATAAATACTTAAAAGGTTAAAAGGTTTTTAATAAAATTATCATTGACAGTAGCTAAACGACAATTACCGTCAATTAATTCATTATAAGCTCGCAGAACTCCTTTGTCGAATGCACGCGCATCGGCAGCAGTTTGGAAAGTGAGACCATTTCTTTGTTTACCGGCGCGCCAATGATGAAATGTGGGCATCACTTTGTAGTACTTAAGGTCACGATTTATGACACAACTTAAAATAACCTAGAAAAATTCAATGTAAATATGAAGTCAAATTACATATCAATATATTTAATTTGTTTATGACTTGGCTTACACTTTGATCGGAGATTCTTTGGCCATAGATTATATATTCATGTCCTGCAGCGCCTGGGGATAGTCTAGCTCGTTTACGTATTGAAACATTAGCCAAACCACCCCCAGCAAGTGGTAACCAACCTTCGGTGCTTTCGTCTCTGGTCATAACCTGTGCACGTACTGTAACTAAGAAATCGCTGCAAATAGATAAATAAAATATTTTTTATTTATTACAAAATTTACTTTTAAACATAATAAAAAAATAAAATTTAGTTTTACTTAAATTTAAATAAATTAAATAAATTTAGTAAAAGCAAATTTTTAATACATCTTAGGATATTAAACACGCTAAAGATGTTGTTTGAATTCCCAATCTGTATTAGTATAATACTAATTTAATTTTATAGTTGTGTAAAGACGGTTTTGGTACTTCAGGGAAGTATATCTCTTACACCACTATTTTCTATTTAGACTACGCTGTCTGAATCGAAATAAAAGTAGTTGCTAAAAGTGTAGTTCACAGTCAGCAAGATTTTGTGTAAAATTATATAGTCTACAGAAGCGGTCATAGAAACTCTCTAAAGTTGACCCAATGGAAAGTAATATCATAAACTTGTTTTGTATATTATAAACGTAATATATGAGTTTCATATAGACATATGTTAAAATTATTGAAAAAATATAACTTTTATGTTCTCTAGAAGTAAGAGATATATATTGTGTGTATACATTAACCACATATGTTATTATAGCAGTTCGTTAAAAGTTAGTACTAAATATTTTTTTCATGTTTATTTCTTTACATTGTTAGATATTGTAAACAATATTATACAAAATAACTAAGGAGTACCAGATATCAAGACTCATCACAATCTTTTTAATCTTAATTAAATAAATAATTAAAATTCATTAGTTTTTGTCTAATTTATAAAATAAAATTTTCATATTTCTGAACTTTCTGATGACCGATATCCTAATCTAGATATAACTATATTTATTAGTTATTTTCTAATTTATAATAATATAATTTCTATATTTCTGAACTTTCTGATGCCTAGTTTTCTGAAAAAAATCATTTTGGTTTCGATTTTAGAAAGTTTTAAACGATTTTTTCAAGGTTGATACTAACATCATTTTATATATATATATGTGGGATAATGACATCATTTTGGATGTTCTCTGCCCCTACTCTTAAGAAAACAGCTGATATATATTAAATAAGGAGCTGCGTGCGAAACAGGCAAGAGAGAAGACGTGTTTACTTGACGACGAAACCTCGGGTAAGGTAAAGAAGTCATATGACGCGAAACCATTTAAATAATCTTTAATCATACTTTTAGTGTAATATATTAAAATTATAATAAAACAATAATAAATAATAAAACAATAATATTACCACAGTAATATTATTACATATATACTCACATTTTTAAGATTATTACAAGGGCAGGCTCGAGACCCGTCATTAATTGACCATACAGACTAAGTAAATTCGAATCATTATGATGTCATATTCTAGCCGAAATTTATTTAAAAATAGTTGCATTAAAAAAAATATGATAAAAAAGGCAACTCATTTGTTGATGCTTTTCAGTAATGTGGAATAATTTTTATAGACTATTTGGAAAAACAATAACATCAGACTACTATTGCATACTACTGGATCGATTGAATGAGGAAATCAAGAAAAAGTGACCACATTTATCAAAGAAAAAAATTTTGTTCTAGTGGCATAACGCACTCGTTCACATGTCAATGAAAAACATAGTAAAATTAAATGAATTACAGTACGAATTGCTTCCTCACCCACCGTATTCTCAAGAATTGGCTTCCAGTGACTATTACTTGTTCGCAAACTTGAAAAGATTGCTCCAGGGAAAGAGATTTGCATTAAATGATGAAGTGGAATGGGAAACTGAGGTATATTTTGAAGGCCTTTATAAATCGCATCGTTGGACTCAGGGTGTCGATAAAATATATTTTTTCAAAAGAAATGCTTTTTATTACTTAGGCTGGGTATTTATCAATCCACCTAGTATGTAGCTTCCTTAAAAAGAAATAATATTGATTTTTAGTCAGCTACCAAGTAAGAAGAAACATTTTTACTAAAAATATATAATATCCTTTTAGACATTTTCTAGAGGAATAACTATAAATAACTTTAAGGTTCGTTAAAGTTAAAATACAAGCTTTTTAAATTCTACTGTAAACGCATTGAAAAAAAAAATCGTTAAAGTATTTTCTCAAATTGAACTCAACTCTTTCGGTGCTTGTAGTAGCAAACATCCTCAGCCAAGGCAGACAAGAACAAAGTCCTTCACTGTCATAAAACCAATAAACCAAGCAGGGCGTGCGCTTTATCCGTTTAGTAGGTGAATGAAAAACAATGTCGAATTTGAGGGAAAGTAACATAACTTCCCTGCATAAACCCAAATAGAAGTAAGCCATTACACATTCCAGTAGCGTTCAGTAGACAGTATTCGAACCAACTCAGGGTTGGTTTTATGAATGGAGTTGTCGATTCTTTTTTCTGTCACTTCCAATATTAAAGTTTGCGCAACGCGCAAGTTTATGGTTACTTTTTTTTAGAGTTTCTGAATATTCGGGAGTTTCTTATGTTTAATGTTAAATATTTCATTGAATAAAAACATGTTGCCTTGTGTCTCATTGCGGATGTAACTTGCTGTTTTGTATCTGTATAGGTGCTACTTGTGGAGTACTGGAAAATAGCATAATACGTATATGCCACTGTTTATATATGTATGAGTTTATATGAATATGTATTTATCTGCATATTGTCCTAGTTTCGTTGCTGGCGACACACTACCAACCATTCAGAAATTTTTTATTTTCATTACGGATTGGGGTTGGGATGGGTTGGGTTGGGTTTTACTGCATTTGGAGCTATTTGAAGCGTTTTATGAACGTCATGAATAGCGGATGGGTGTGTAGCATACATGTCAAGGACTCCACTGTTTAAGTTGTTAGCTTCCATATATTCGACAAGCGCACAAACCAAAATGTAATGAATTATAAACCATCAGCACACAACTACCTATAGTAATACTTTAACAAAATTATAATAAATAAGGTACATACATATATATGTATATATATAACTTATATATGTGTACGTATATATATACAAATGCATAAATACATACATAAACATGCATTAAATATCCTCTATTTTCATTCACGTTAAGCTTCTTTCAGTGCACAGTGTGTCCCTGATAGCGGACAAGTTAGCTTGTTCAACTTTTCAATGAATGACGTGAAACCTGAGGTGGCATTTTAGATTATCAATGAATGAGGGCTAGCATAAAAAAGGATATTAAAATCCTATCCTTTTTAAAGGTCATCTTTAAATATTAAATATGAATATTTTTTTTTTAGTCGTTATAAAACAAAAATATATTCTGGTAACAAAATAATATAATAGCTTTGAATGAGACTATAAGATTAATAAGGTTTAATGATTATTTTGTGGGATGGTATAAGGATTTCTAATAGAATTATTATCAATGAATTGTTTTGTCTTTTCGCCATGAAATACGCAAAAAAAATAACAATAAAAATCAAATGTATTAAATGAAAATCTATTTTATTATGTTGAAGCTAGTTGAGCCAGTGCGCTTGAGCACTTTTACTCTCTATTAACTGCGAGGTATCTTCAAAACCCCTCTTTAGGACTTGACTGGATTATTGTTTATCACTTCATCAGACTAAGCAATAACTGACTTCAGATCTGCATAAGTACCCGAGGAGCCTGTGACCATTCTAAGATTCGATAACGTGGTGTTGATAAGTCTGTCAGTTTTCGTAAATAATTTCAGGGCTATATCCTTTATATATTTTTTGATCGGATCAATCTTGAGGTCCCTGAGGGTGTCATTCGTCCTAATGTACAATGGTACCTTGAAAAGTCTTCTCAGAGCCTGACTTTGTGCAATTTCCAGCTGGCGAATAGCAATGTTTGAGGCTTTTAAACGTTAAACGCTACACATCTATATAGAAGTGACGGACGAATAATTGGGTATATATCAGCTTCCTGTTCTTAGCATTCAGATTTTCATTTTTGTATAGTGGTTGGAGGTGATGAAGAATTTTGGCACAGCTAATTCTTTTCAGTTGAACATGTTTAAACCATGTGAATCATTTGTCCAATGCGATGCCGAAATATTTAATGCTATCCTCCCAGTTTATTACCATACCTCTACCATATCTTCACACTAGACGGGTTCTGTCTTCACTTACGCGTAGTAAACAGAACCTTAATTTTTTCGTTATTGATTTTAATTTAAAATGAAACTTATACTAAAATAAAAATTAGTATATTTAATGCAATTTGCTAACATAATGTGGAAACATGAAATAAAGTTTTTTTTATCTCCCTAAATTTTTTATGGAAAACGTTTTCTATGAAATAGAAGATTGATTTCGATGAAAACGCGTAGTCCAAATGAAAATAACTCGAATTCGTGGAATAATGGATTGTGAATTGCAAAATCTAAACGTTACATTATATAAAAAAAAATCCTTTTCGAAAGCTATAAATTAATATTAATAACCATTTCATTTATAACCAAGTTTTTATATCGTAGTTTTTGCAAAATGTTCGTAGAAACATTATGGGTCACGTAAACAAAAAATGCATGAATGCATATCTAAATAGATTCTCAAGAACTTTGGCAGAAAGTTAAAAAGGGAAAGGTTGAGTGTGTTCAAATTAAACTGAATTTTCTAATATTAGATACTTGTAGTGAAGTCATCTACTAGCAATTATATTCATCAGTGAAGTATATCCTTTACTGAGCTATTACCAACATTAAATAACATTTAGATAAATAGAAGCTAAGTTATTGCAATTGATAACTAACCTTCATAATGTCAATATAATATAATTTTCATAAAAGGTTTCTACATCAAGCATTTTCCTTTCTGCTGTAAATCCCTTTTTATCGTTTTCGGCGGACAACCCAAACCCGAAATGGAAAAATCCGGTAAAACCAATAAAAGGCACCTTGGAATCGTTTAGAAGAGAAATTCTTTTGCATTCTCCGTATTTCCCTAACCTGGCCCCAACTAACTATCACCTCTTCGAATAAATGGGAAGAGGTGAAGAGAGCCATTTCCAAGGAACTTGGAAAATGGCTTGACAAATATTTCATTGCAAAAAACGTGAATAAAAAAAAAC